ACTATATTTTCAATTTTAATTGGATTTTAAGCCTTAATTTATGTGGATGGATCTAGGACGCTGTAGCAGAAGTGAAATAACACATGAGGTGTACGTGAGTGAGATAATACATTTTCTCACGGATTCTATCAATAGGGACATGAATTGCGAAATGTTTGGTGTTAAAAAAAAAAAAATTGAGGGTAAATTAGTAACATTTTGGAAAGGTTGGGGACGAATAGTGACATAAACCGTAATAATAATTGTTTTCATGAGCCATTCTAGTGTACAAGCCTTCGTAGTTGAAATTATCTTCAGCCTCATTACTTAAAAAGGGGATAGAGTTGAGACGGAGGGTCATCCGTACAGAAGATTTTCATGCGTACAAACGGGATAAGGGAGTGAGAATCAAGCTTATTATTTTGGGCCGCGCCAAAAGAGTCAAGCTATCAGGCAGCTGAATTAATATCATCCATTATCACTGCTAGCCCTAACTCCATAGTCCATTCTTAGGAGGTTATGGAGGTACAACGACAGATAATATGGAAAACTCGAAAAGTAGTGAGTGCGAATACATACACAGACATACAAGAGGCTCGATAATCCAACACAGCAATCTGCATGTATATATACAACATATACCTATCTTGGCACAGTGCCACAACTATTCAAAGTAACGAAGCATGTATACAACTTCGCAGAATTACTAGTAAATTAATAAACTCTCGTGCCAAGATCAGATGAAAGGCGAATTCCAATAACATTTAAGGTCTGTAGTATCTACGGCAAGTATTATTCAAGTGTAACAATCAAGGTGTTTCACTTCAGACGACACTGGCAGTGGAAATCACCAATCAACTGCACATTTTTCACATAATTGCTGCAAGTATACCTGGTATAATCAATAACATAATTCCACGTACATGTAACGACCCTGAACCAGCACTTATAACCAACAGCAGTAAAGCCCAAATGTCCACGCACAATATGTCCAAGAGCATAAGCCAGTGGAGAGCCTCTGCAGCTTTCTGAAACATAAATCCACTTAGATATTAAGGAAATGAATTCTGCACAGATGAATTGAGACATTATATCAGGTGCCAAACCCAAGACGTGTAGAGTATGTTTTCATAAGCTTAAAAAGTTTACTTATAACTAAATAGGCTAATGGAAACAAAAAGTTTATTTAAGCTTTAGCCAAACATGCCATGATATCCACTATTTTTGAAGTGAAATCAAACATGCCAATCCCCCATAGGAACTGAAAAAACTAACAGTGACTCAAACTAACTGAACGCGACTGCCACTATCCTTTCTATCCTATGAGGAAAAATCCTTAATGGACGGCACGGACAAACTGAAACTCACTAATCACAATCAATTCTGGATAGACAAAATTATGTGGAGAGGTCACTTTTAGAGAGAGTGAAATGTGTTCACTACTTTCCGTTTACTAAATAATGTCCACTTCTTCAAATGTTTTGTCAATTCTTCCACATATACCATTTTCTTTTTAAAAGTGTTACAAAGTCAATCTCTTCGTTTTGTACGAATTTCGAACCATCTAGGCATTCTCCACAAACTAAGAAAAGCTTATGAGGGTTTCTAATCTGTTTAGACACCCTAGACTCTTGTCAAAGTACACAATAAATTCTATGAGGGTGCATTTGATTGAAACATGGACTTTGCATAGAAAGAAAATAAATTCTAGGCGATTGAATTGCCTAGAATTTATTTATATGGAAATTATTAATTAAATGTGTTTGATTGATTTAATTTTCAACCCAGAAAATATTAGTGGTGAATAGATGACACATGGAATAGATGAGAGAGGGAAAAAGAGAGTAAATTATTGGTGGTGGGCTAGTGGTTCTATGAAGGAGAAAGAATGAAACATAAATTAGTTTGCATATAAGAGGCCAACAAAGTTACAAAGTTTTAGTGCATTTATATATTGACTGAATTTTTTTTAAAAAATATTTAGTTAAATATTAATAAACAATATTGTTATTGCGGTCGTTGATGGTCAATAGTCCACGAACAACAACTATCCTAGTTCACTGGAATTCCTAGATCCGCCCTTGCGGCTTTAACATATGGTACCAATGGAAGAAAATTGTTGAAGAGTTCCTTGTATCCTTGTTTGATGCATCCTTCATTGTTTAAAACATCAGCAGCCTTATTCGCTTGGCAAAATTTGAGAGTTACTTTCATCCTGATCTCCCTTTGATAATGTTGAATTTGGACAACCTTATATTTCCCAAGAGCCACCTTCATTTCTCATCATAGATTGTATAGCCATAGATTAATCCAATTCTATCCAAACAGTCCCTTCCAATTCTTGCACAAATCCTCAACCCATCACAATCCTGAATTCAGCCTCAAAATTAGTGCAAACACTCGAAAACTTATAGAAAGGCCATTGCACAAACACCATCGTTGTCTCAGAGTAGTCCCCCTCCCATAGGTTCTCCTTAAAACACTCATCTGTTTTCAATTTTATCCACACAACTGACAGTTCCTACTATTTAACCACTATGGGTGGCCTAATTTTTTGCTTGAAAATCCGCATTGTAACCCACCCAAAAATTCGCAACCTTATTTTTTAAATTTTAATGTCGGATATTTGAAAGGAAAGCTTGTTTTGAAGTTAATTAACCCACTTTAAGTCCTGAAAATCGCAATGTTTATGATTTTATTTTAATATGAAAATATGGATAATTCGGGTCGAAATAAATCAGCAGGGCCTAGATTAAATGAATTAGAAAGTTACATTCACGTTTGGACTCGATTGAATGAAAGTGAAGTTTATGTCCTTTTAGACCAAATAAAGCAACCATTTTTTAGGCCATAGTACGAACTGTGTGTCGTCCATTGTTTATCGTGTTAGTTAGTTGATAAGTAACCCTCCCAATGGTACCTAATTTGCATATATTTGACTTAGAGACAAGCCTCAAACAGAGTCTAGAAATGAAATCTGAAACTGAATGTGTAACCGACACAAGTGTGATTGAGCAGCCAACTTTGAGGACATCGTACGAACAGTGTATTCGTCTGTGGCTTTTGCATGTTAGTGCATTGGAAAGTACTCGTCGAAACCTTCATTTATGGTATGCCAAATGGGACCCAAAAATTGAGTTGCTGGAATTTTTCAAGTGTTCCAACAATTTCGCGATCAATCATCATGTTCGGATCGGTCTTGTGATCGCTATAGTTATGTTAATAATGCGATTCTCGATGCAGTACAAATCTCATAATGAGCTCATCGAGTGAGTATGAAGAATGTCAATTTACGACCCGTGCATGTTTCCCTAATAGCCGGCCCGTCACATGTAGGACCCGGAAACAGGATGCACATTTTATGAATTAAATATTCTTTAGTTGACAGCTGGCCCAATGGATAAAAGATGCATTTATCTTGTCCCTTTTGTAAAGAATTATTAAAATTATGGAAAAAATGAAAGGATGGCCATTTTTTACAACTGCATGGGAACATGCCCCAAAACCACCTAGAAATAGGCAGGAGAGTAAGGCAGCCGAGGCTAAGAGGAGGCAAACTCTGAACTTCAAGCTACCTTGCTACTAAGCTGATGAAGAGGATGAGGATGGACAGAGTAGGTCCTTTGAGCTTGACGACCATGATGATAATCTCCCTTATCTCGAGTTTAAAATGCCTATTTTCTAATACTAGCATACGAGGTTTGAGGAGACCCAGAGGAGCACATTAACACGCATAAGAGCCACATAAGTTTGAGGTGAGCCTCACTAGCACTGAAGTGTAGAACCTTCCACTTGACCTGTGCGGGGCAGCAAAGAAGCTGTACAGCAAGCTCCACCCTGGGACAGTTAGGAGTTGTCCAGACCTAAAGAGCAATTCCTTAACAACTTCATGTCCAAAAGGGAAGGAAGAAACCCAGTCCAACGCCTCCAAGACATGAGGCAGGTGGCCGATGAAACACTAAAGAGCTACTTGTCCCGCTTCACCAATGAAATGACCGACTGCGAAAAGATCACCGATGCAGAAGCCCTATCTACACTAAAAGGAGGCCTTAACATGAACACACTATTTTGAAGGGATGTTTGCAACAAGAAATTTTCCAAATATGAAAAATCTAATCCATATACTGCTTCAGCAGGAAGATGGTGGTGGCCAAGTTGACAGATTCATTACCAAATTACTTTTCTTGAAAATTTCATTTTCCGGAAATAACAAAAATTGTGGTGATTGATTTTTGTGGAGTCGGTTTTCCAATTGTTACTGATGATGACGGCAGTGGCAGATGGTGGGTTTTGAATCTTTGGATGGTGGTGATTGAAAAAAATAACACATTACTTTTCAATCTATGAAATGTGATGTTAAGGAAAGGTAATACGCTATATTACTCGTGTGAAAAGTTTTCTTTTAATAACCAGTAACAAAGTATGTAACTTGTGTTTATTGCTAGCTAAGCTTAAAATGTTGAGTTTTGCTAAGATGCAACACTTCAAAAGCTTTTATTTAATAAAAAATTGACGCAGTAATGAGAAGTGACACGGCATTTTTCTATTTCTCTAGCAGCCTATCACTTTGGTATTTTTCAATTTTTTGTCCTAAAGTAGGGTATTTGTGAGTTCTTACCTTGTACAGACCTGTCTTTTGGAAGCATAATCGGAATTATTATTTTACAACCAAATTTTCTTTGGAATTATTAGACGACATTTTCTGTTTTCATATACTTATCTGAGATCATCCAGTCGTTATTAGTCTAGAATTAAAGTCCCTATATATAGATTTTGGAATGCAACAAAGATATTTAAAAGAAAATATTGAAGTAAATGAAAAGTAAAAGAGTTTCTAACACGAGACTTGATCATACCCATTAAACTGGATTATATATAGTACAACGGATGTTTGAACAACAGACTCATTTATTCTAGTTGATATATAAACATATAATCTGTTTTACTCCACGAAGTAAAAGAGAAATTATTAAAGGTGGAAATCATCCTTATTCATTGAGTCCGTTGTCCTTTTTACCATCCTAATTCGAAGCGGTGAGTGTGAACCCAGTAGTTCCAAACCTGAAAATGATTATAAGTCCATTGCTAGCAGTTACAATCAAACGTAAGGGTGCCGAAACTAGATTGCCTGGTGGCAGGGTTGAATTACAGCTGACGAGAGGTGTTGCAACACGTAGTCGGCAACGGCCGCCTAATAGATTGGCTAAAGTAACCGGGGAAGGTCCCAAGATGTTGAAGTTCAAGTTGATAGCAAACATCCCGGCAGAATTTGTAGTTGCACTAGCCACGACAGTATTACCACCGCCGCATTGCAACTGCACCAAAGCATCTGTATACATGTAGAAAATGCATGTATTTATCTTTCAATGTAAATACATCAGTTAGTAAAATGGCGCTTCTTCTGTTATGAATCGAGTCCTAACACTATCGTGGTTTGTCTTGAGAATTAAAAACCATAATTCTATTATGTCGAGAGCAATAAAATAGCATAGATAATATAGATACATTATATAGGTTCGCCTCAATAACGTGAGATTATATTCTTGTTTACTGACTAGTTTGCTATTTACAAGATAAAAATCACATATTATTTTCACTAACCCCTCTCTCCTTTTCTTTTTCTTTTTCTTCTCCTTCTCCGTCTACAAATCATTTATATATCGTTGGAGTATTAAGCAGATTCGCAGTTGAGAGAATAAATATATAGTAGTTTTACATTTGAATAGTGTAATTATAATTGTATAACTTACTAGGGAAAACGGGTGTCGCAGAGCCATTCACACCAAGGCTACCATTGACAGTGCAGAATAGAGTTCCATTGATAGATGCCGTAACGGTGGTGGCATCTGCAATTGAAAGTGCCATTAAAGCAAAAGAGAAAAAAATTAGGAGATGAGTTTTGGTGGCCATTTTGATGGAATTTCTTTCTGATTAGATGCTGAGAGACTTGCAAATTAAGGGCTCTATGTGCGCCCAATTTATAGGAAGTTTGAAGCCGATTTACGGTTGATTTTTATTTTTGCGTGGAGAAGAATAGATGACCCTCGTTTAAACTTTTAGGCATTTAAAGTCAAATAGACATTAAATTTGTAGTTTTGTCCCGATTAGTTTATATTCATTTCATTATCACCATTCGTGCATTATTCATATATTTTAGTTAGTTTTATCATTTCATAACACATCACATGTCAAGACTCGTGATCTTCTCATTAGAGATAAATAGTATTACTCTTATTTTTCATCGAAAAAAAGTCTGTTTTCTTCAAAGAATCTTTACGGTTGGTAGCACCTGCTTGGCAGCCATTTTTTTTTTCCTAACTGCCAATGAAAAAATGATAATTATATATATGTAAAGAATCTGTGAAAGAAACCATGTGCGTGTAGCATAGATTTATTCATCACGAAAATTTGCAAGTCGCGCTAATTATGCATTGCGTATGCTTAGGATTGCATGCCAAGTATAAACATACGTCAGCACTGGCCACCAAGCTATGGAAGTTTACCAAAGAATTGCATTTTGCAAATGAATATGGAAACTATAAAGTAAGCTATTCGACTAAAGGGTGTGTTTGACACCCATTTTGGTGAAAAATAAATTCTAGAATAGTGATTGATGGGAAGAATGTGTGGTTGAAAAGTAAGAAGAATTTTTGGGTTTATGTGTAATATTATTTTATTGATAGGATGTGTGGTTGAAATGAAAAAAGAGAAAAAAAATGAGAAAGAGAATGGGAAAAGAATTGATGTCAAACGGGGGCTAATTCTCCTAACTCTCAAATGAGGAAGACCCCACCTATCTAGATTAATTAAACCCTCGACTAGGTTTGAAATATGTGTAATACTTTGTTAAAGTCAGCATCGTGTATGATAAGCCATATTGGGATTGAGAATCAGTTTAAACTTTTACATGAAGTAGCAATGGAGAATTTTATGCAATGAGTGAAAAAGTCACGACGAGACAAGTTGTTTATCATTACGATATAAACGTGTCAAGTGGAAGTGCGCTCATGTATGTAGTTAATGCATTTAAAAAGCATATTTTATAATCTAGAGGGTAAAAAAATAAAAATTAAATGTTGCAACAGCCTATTTATCTTTAATACCTATTCACAATATGTATTTATTATTTTTCTCATATTTTATTTTCACTAATTTCCCTCCAAATCATAATTTTTTTTTTCTCCATTTTTTTTTTTTATATATATTATTTGATTGGATTAATTATAGAGATTGAATTTGGCCCTCTGAATCTGAAAAATCAAATCCACTCTCTATTTTAAAGTGTTAATTTAATGAATTTCTTAAAAGTATAATTTCAAGGGTTAACTCTTTAAAATAGATAGTACATCACTTTTAAAGAATCTCTTAAAGATACTCAACGGTAAACTCGAACCTTGTTATGGGCTTTTTCTAGTCGTTCAATGGCCCCCTATGCAGTTATTCTGTATTTCAAGTATTGCCTACGGGATACCTTCTACAATTAAAGAACCAGCATTGAAAATCGTCTTTACATCGGACCGTTTGGCATGGTTTGATATTTTCATGATATCTAAGGGTTATAAGTTGTCCTCGCCTTTCTTTCTTCAAGTCTAAATATTTCTGAAATACATTTTATATAATAGGTTTGGACAATTCTATTTTGAAATAAATGTTCAATATTGCAAGATAGTTATTACTCGTCCTTTAAACCCTATTTGACAATCATAATTTTCAACTCTTTTTTCTATAAGTTCATTTTTAATTATACATCCACACGATAAAATATTATACATTTAAACCCAAAACTGTTTTATACTTTTTAACCACATATTCTCCTAAAAAAACTATTCAAAACTCTTTTTTTCAGGAGCATAGTTGTCAAATAGGAGAGTCACATTAGACAATACAATGTCTATAACAAAAATAAACTCATTTCTTGCAACTAAATTGTTATTTGTAAATATTATTCTTTTATATTTCTATTTGTTTAATGTTATTGATTAATATAAAGATATAAAATTTAAAATTGGCATATTTTAGCTATGAAAAAATTCGTTGAATTAGTGTTTAAAAAAAAAAAAAAACACCTATCACGAATTTTATGATCTAGTGCCTAGTAAAGCTAAGCAGTGTATTTTGTCCTTGCATGTATGGCAAATTTGACGAAAACATTCCTCTCTACATAGTTTCCTTGCCTTTAGTCATTCGACCAATCAAGAATTTTATGGTCCAACGCCTAGTAAAGCTAAATGCTGGGTGACAATTGCATCCCTCACCCTCAACTTTTACTCCCTTTTGTACTTTTGTCTCTATTGTTTATTTCTTGACGTTGTTGTCCTTAACCTTTCATTTTTTGGTGCTCGTGGTCCTAACGATGTTTTTTACAAATAATCCACATAATTATCATATCCACCTCCTCATAAGATGACATAATTAAGTATGTTATTAATCTCTACACAATAATTAAGATTAATTAATTTCAATGTCCATATTTTTCGAAATTCTTTTATTTTCAATATCATTGCTTATTTCATCTCACGAAATCGCGCACGACTGTTTTGGACTGAAGGGACCTCTGGCATAAAAAAAAAAAAAATTAAAGGTTGAGGCATCACTCTTAAGAAGTAAACTTTAGAAATTGCTTTATTTTTGTAGTATTGGGTGGTGTTTCGCTATATGATAAAAATCTCAATCGATATAAAATTATCATATAAATATATATTGGATTGATCATTGGTATGAAAATCTACTAAATGATAATTTTATATCAGCTGAGATTTTTCTCATTATATAAATATATATTGGATTCATTCTTGGTATGAAGATTTATTAAATGATAATTTTATATCGATTGAGAATTTTCTCATTGATATATCTGATTTACGGAGACCTTCCTGCGTGGAAATTCTGATCATGTCGTTTACTTAGTATGTTTAATCCATATTAATTGTATAATTAATTTTACTCTACATTATCAGTAATGTAGTAATTTATGTAGAATAATGAGATATGACAGTTCAACAACTCAACTTTTATTAGAGAGGGGGAGAGAGAGAGAGAGAGAGATAATTGATTGTCACATCATTGACGTTTCATCATGATGATGATAAATAACGTTACTTTTTGTATTTGAGATGTAAAATATTTCCATGTTTTTCAGAATATTAGAATAAAATAAATTTCATAAGTTGCTAACATTTAGCCAATGCTATTAAAATAGATATGAATTTCTTAGCGTTGCTTATGAATTTTTCCTTGTTAGAAATTAAGGGTTAGGTTAATTTCTATCTTGACGAAAATGGGAAAAAACAAAAATCCAAAATAGAAAAAGAAATTTGCCTCAAATTCTAACAGACTAAGGGCGTGTTCGGTAGAAATTAATATCGGATTAAAAATGAAAAACTAGTCGTTATTGTTGACTTTATTAGACGAGTGAGACCCAATAACTGCTATATTTTCAATTTTAATTGAATTTTAAATTCAGACAAACATGCTCTAAATATAGATGACCCCAATAACTTGTAGATTTTTAAAGATTTCATTAATTGAAAGGATTTTAATAAATTTAAGTGGATTTCTAGCCCATAAATATTAAAGTCAAGCTCTCTATGTAGTTGCACTAGCCACGACACTATTACCACCGCCGCATTGCAACTGCACCAAAGCATCTGTATACATGTAGAAAATGCATGTATTTATCTTTCAATGTAAATACATCAGTTAGTACAATGGCATAATTAAGTATGTTATTAATCTCTACACAATAATTAAGATTAATTAATTTCAATGTCCATATTTTTCGAAATTCTTTTATTTTCAATATCATTGCTTATTTCATCTCACGAAATCGCGCACGACTGTTTTGGACTGAAGGGACCTCTGGCATAAAAAAAAAAAAAATTAAAGGTTGAGGCATCACTCTTAAGAAGTAAACTTTAGAAATTGCTTTATTTTTGTAGTATTGGGTGGTGTTTCGCTATATGATAAAAATCTCAATCGATATAAAATTATCATATAAATATATATTGGATTGATCATTGGTATGAAAATCTACTAAATGATAATTTTATATCAGCTGAGATTTTTCTCATTATATAAATATATATTGGATTCATTCTTGGTATGAAGATTTATTAAATGATAATTTTATATCGATTGAGAATTTTCTCATTGATATATCTGATTTACGGAGACCTTCCTGCGTGGAAATTCTGATCATGTCGTTTACTTAGTATGTTTAATCCATATTAATTGTATAATTAATTTTACTCTACATTATCAGTAATGTAGTAATTTATGTAGAATAATGAGATATGACAGTTCAACAACTCAACTTTTATTAGAGAAGGGGAGAGAGAGAGAGAGAGAGATAATTGATTGTCACATCATTGACGTTTCATCATGATGATGATAAATAACGTTACTTTTTGTATTTGAGATGTAAAATATTTCCATGTTTTTCAGAATATTAGAATAAAATAAATTTCATAAGTTGCTAACATTTAGCCAATGCTATTAAAATAGATATGAATTTCTTAGCGTTGCTTATGAATTTTTCCTTGTTAGAAATTAAGGGTTAGGTTAATTTCTATCTTGACGAAAATGGGAAAAAACAAAAATCCAAAATAGAAAAAGAAATTTGCCTCAAATTCTAACAGACTAAGGGCGTGTTCGGTAGAAATTAATATCGGATTAAAAATGAAAAACTAGTCGTTATTGTTGACTTTATTAGACGAGTGAGACCCAATAACTGCTATATTTTCAATTTTAATTGAATTTTAAATTCAGACAAACATGCTCTAAATATAGATGACCCCAATAACTTGTAGATTTTTAAAGATTTCATTAATTGAAAGGATTTTAATAAATTTAAGTGGATTTCTAGCCCATAAATATTAAAGTCAAGCTCTCTATGAATTCGAACACGACCTCTAAATGTCGTGCCCACAAATATAAAGTCAAACAATTAATACCTTTGACAAAAATAAAAGAAATTAAATTAAATAAAAAACATAAATAGTAAAGTAATAAATTTTAGATTCACATTCCAAAATCCAAAATGTGAGAGAATACGAATCGTACCCATTCAAATTTGTAGAAATAGATTTTTATTTTGGTAGCTAAGAATGGAAAGTGAATCCATTTTTGTACTATATTCACCAATCAGAAAATATTTAAAGCATATTTTGTACTTAATACTTAGAACTTTAATGAAAATAATTTTACTAAAAAAATTAAATTGATTACTAATTTGTTACTTTGCTTGATTTATAGATTGTAATTATATTCAATTTATAGATTCATTTTATGTTTGTCGATATTTATTTGCTTAACTTTGTAAATCGATGAAATTAGTTCTTTTAAAGACAAAATTATACTTTTTTTTTTTTACTTACGAAGTTAGAATTTTTCTATTTTTAGATGATCGATTAAGAAGTTATAGGATTTTATCGTAATCGCAAGAAATCCAACGAATCCATTGAAATCTCTAACATATAATTCTGTTAATTCTATTAAAATTTATATGGATTCAAATGCATGTTTAAAATTTAGAAAATAAAACAAGGCTACGTTTGGCAAAGTATTATGAAATCTAGTCGTAGCTGAAAATTTTAAAAACACTAACTTTTATACATAATTTGCCAAACGTAGCCTTGTTTTATTTTTTCCTTATTTTTTCCACTATACATTAATACCTTGAACTTCTTTAAGGGAGTCATCTATATATATAGCCTGGTAAAGCTAAGCAATATCTTCAAAAAAAAAAAGGGTATGGAATGAAATTAGCAATAGTTTAGAGCAGTGCTATTTCCATGTGAAGCAACTGTGTGAAAGTTATGAAAATTCTCTTTGCTAATGGAATATCAAAAAATGTTTACTATTTACAATTTAAAAGAAATGTCCAAATTGGCATGCAAAATGTTCTACAAAAGTTTGCAAATCAATGAATGGCTGAAATTTCATCTTGCAAATACAAATGTATAGCTGAAAATGCATAATGGTACTTCAAGCAGTTCGAGAGATATTGTGATTCAGAAACTCAAATCCGAGCTTGTTGCTTTATCCAGGGCTGTAGGGACGTCGGAATTAGAACCGCAGACTCTTCGTAAGCAGATTGTGAAAGAGAACAGAAGGGGGTAGGATCCTTGAAAGAGGAGAGAGATGTTATCAAGGAAGAATGTGAGAAAACTTGAAAGCTTTCCCAAGACGTTTAAATGAGGAAGTGGATATTCTGGCATTTGCTGAAGAACTCAGAAATGATGCAAAAGACCTTAATGGCAATCTTCAGATTCAACTTCAGAAGACACAAGAATCAAACTCGGAATTAAATCTTGCTGTGCAAGGCCTAGATGAGCTGTTGGAACAGAAAAATCAGGAAATTTTGGTGGGGTGGAGCTTAATTAGGGAAGATGACTGTTTTTTTTTCTTTCTTGATTTATGTCGATGGATCTAAGACGTTGTGGCAGAAGCGAAATAACACGCGAGGTGTACATGAGTGAGATAATACAGTTTCTCAATGACTCTGTCAATAGGGACGTGATTTGAGAAATGTTTGGTGTTAAAAAAAAGGTTGAGGGTAAATTAGTAACAATTTGGAAAGGTTAGGGACGAAAAGTGACATAAACCATAATAACAATAATTGTTTTCATAAGCCATTCTAGTGTACAAGCCTTTCTAGTTGAAATTATCTTCAGCCTCATTACTTAAAAAGGGGACAGAGTTGAGACGGAAGGTCATCCCTACAGAAGTTTTTTCATGCGTACAAACGGAGTGAGAGTCAAGCCTATTATTTTGGGCCGCGCCAAAAGAGTCAAGCTATAAGGCAGCTGAATTAATATCATCCATTATCACTGCTAGCCCCAACTCCATGGTCCATTCTTAGGAGGTCATGGAGGTATGATGATAGATAGTATGGAAAACTCGGAAAGTAGTGAGTGCGAATATATACACACACATACAAGAGGCTCGATAATCCGACAGTAATCTGCATGTATATATACAACATATACCTATTTGGGCACAGTGCCACAACTATTCAAAGTAACGAAGCATGTATACAACTTTGCAGAATTACTAGTAAATTAATAAACTCTCATGCCAAGATCAGATGAAAGGCTAATTCCAATAACATTTAAGGTCGGTAGTATCTACGGCAACTATTATTCAAGTGCAACAATCAAGGTGTTTCACTTCAGACGACACTGGCAGTGGAAATCATCAATCAACTGCATATTTTTCACAAAATTGCTGCAAGTATACCTGGTATAATAAATAGCATAATTCCACGTACATGTAATGACCCTGAACCAGCACTTATAACCCACAGCAGTAAAGCCCAAATGTCCACGCACAATATGTCCAAGAGCATAAGCCAGTGGAAAGCTTCTGCAGCTTTCTGAAACATAAATCCACTTAGATATTAAGGAAATGAATTCTACACAGACGAATTGAGACATTATATCAGGTGCCAAACCCAAGACGTGTAGAGTATGTTTTCATAAGCTTAAAAAGTTTACTTACAACTAAATAAGCTAATGGAAACAAAAAGTTCATTTAAGTTTAGCCAAACATGCCATAATATCCAATATTTTTGATGTGAAATCAAACATGTCAATCCCCCATTGGAACTGAAAAAACTATCAGTGACTCAAACTAACAGAACATGACTGCCACTATCCTTTCTATCCTATGAGGAAAATCCTTAATGGACGGCACGGACAAACTGAAACTCACTAATCACAATCAATTCTGGATAGACAAAATTATGTGGAGAGGTCACTTTCAGAGAGTGAAATGTGTTCACTACTTTCCGTTTACTAAATAATGTCCACTTCTTCAAATGTTTGTCAATTCTTCCACAAATACCATTTTCTTTTTAAAAGTGTCACGGTCAATCTCTTCGTTTTGTACGAATTTCGAACCATCTAGGCATTCTCGACAAACTAAGAAAAGCTGATGAGGGTTTCTAATCCTTTTAGACACCCTAGACTCTTGTAAAAGTACACAATAAATTCTACGAGGATGCGTTTGATTGCAAGCATAGAATTTGCATAAAAAGAAAATAAATTCTAGGCAATTGAATTATCCAAAACTTATTTATATGGAAATTATTAATTAAATGTATTTGATTGATTTAATTTTCAACCTAAAAGTGGTGAATAGATGACACGTGGAATAGATGAGAGAGGGGAAAAAGAGAGTAAATTACCTAGAAAATAAAAACCACCCATTTCTAAAGAAAATATTTTCCTTGTTTTTTAGGAAAGTATGGTCACACGACCAAAAGTTGGAAAATATTTTCCATGGAAAAAATGTCAATCAAACACTCCAAAACAAGAAATTTGGGAGGAAAAATAATATGGGAAGAATACATAAATAAGGTGTTTACTTTTACACATTTCAAAAATACCAAAACATGTTTCAAATTTCAAAAATCAGGTTTTTTAAAATTTTTAATTATGAAATAATAATTATTAGATTAATTTATTATTAATATTTAATTCTACTATAAAATAATTAACCCACCCCCACCTCCACCACCCCTTCAACTCCGGGCATATTCCGGCGACCGTTCCGGCGACTTTTCCGATGACTGATCTGATTCCGGCGAATATGTTGAGGTCACAGATCTATACAATTAGGTCACAATTCAAATTTTTTTAGGTCACAATTCAAAATTTTCATAGGTCACAATTCCTTTATTGGTCACAAGTTAGAAATTTAACTCACAATTTGTTCATCGGTCACAAATCCCAAAATTTATTAGTCACAATACTTATTTAGGTCACAATTTATCAATTTATTGGTCACAATTAATAATTTTTAGGTCACAATTAATAATTTTTTGGTCACATATTCAAAATTTTAGGTCACAGTTAAATACTTGGTCACAGATAACCAATTACTTGGTCACAAACCACCTACAATATCCTCACCGGCACAAAACCGCCACCATCTCACGACAAGGAGTTCCAACGCCACCGTCGCAACAACCAACACCCCACACAAAAAACACCACTACCACAACACAAAAACACTACCACCACCGCCGGATGGCTACCAAAACGCAGAACCACAGCCAAAACACAGAACACACATCACACCCATAACACACAACCACCGCCCGAAACCACCCCAGATCTGCAACACAAATTAACATACAAACACCACAACCATCGGATAAATCAACTCGAACACTAAAAAAATAAAAGAGGAAACAATAGATCTGCGCCGATGGTTGGATCGAACATAGAGTTCTCCAAAGCGGCGGCGAAAAGCAAGGAGACGACGGAGAACCCGTGAATGGTGGCAGCAGCGTCGCGGAGGGAGAGAGGGATAGGGAAGGAGAATGATGTAGATCCGTAGGAAAATGTACAAACGACGGAGAACCTGTGAACGGTGGCGACAGCGTTACGAAGGAGACGAAAATCAATTCCCATTCATTGGTGGAAACGGTGGCGGCGGGAGGGGAAGAACGGTGGCGACGGGAGGAGAAGAAACTGACAGGAGAAGAAGGCGGCGGGAGGAGAGAACTCACTGGAGAAGAAACCGAGAGGAGAAGAAGGCGGCGGTGGGAGGAGATAATCCAGTGGAGGAGAGAAATGAGTTTTAGGTTAGATTAGGGTTATTTTAATTGTGGTGAAAATAATATAATTAATATCTAATAAATTAAAATAAACCTGATTTTAGAAAAGTTAAACTTGATATATGATTAATGAAAATGGAAATCTAAAAGTAGGGTTGGGTGTAATTTCCTCAAATAATATTTTCTATGGAAAATAAAGCCAATCAAATACACTCTAAAATCAACCTAAAAACAATTCCCCATAGTTAATGTTCAAAGCCATCTGATGAGAGGACTCCCTCTCCCTCTCACCCTCACCCTCTTCAACAAGAGGCTTCCCTCTCTCTCTCTCTCTCTCTCTCTCTCTCTCTCTCAAACCTACTTTCTTTCACACTCTTCATCATCCAAAAAGATCAAATCTAGTCTCCACAAAAGTCTTTATTGTCCTATCCATCTTCCACAAACTGAGACGTGCTTTAGAAATTATAAATGAGATTGGCATCAAACAGTGACAAGGAACCATCTGTCTCCGACACTCCATCGTCTCCTCTCAGATGTTAGATTGGTAGGAACTTCTTCAGAACTTATTTTCAAGTTATTTTCTCTTCTTCTTTTTCCCTTTTCAGTTCCAATAATCTGAAATGGATTTGTAGTGTCACCTTGTTGGTGCAGTGTTGACAACGAGTGGGCAATATCTTTATCTAAAAAATTGGAAGTGCCACATGGTGTGGCCAACGCATGTAAGTGTCCAATACGTGTTGGTCACCAACACTCAACCATGGTGACTGGCTTATTGTTGTTTCTTACTAGTTACTACTAAAAGAAATTCTTGTCCTGCGTCACTCTTACTAAGTTGACGTAAACCTTAGTAAGATAAGATAGATGCTAACCATTTTTAATTTTTATTTGCAATAGGTACTTCTTATCAAAGTAAAGAAAAAATGGGGAAAAAAAATAGAAACACCACATGTAAGATATAGTCCAAATTTGGTATACTAGTTCAACAAATAAACAAGTTGTGCAAAAACTTGTAAGAGTATATGAACTAACCTTCACGCCATTAAAGTTTCTAGCCTGTCACAGTGAGGAGTCGGAAAGTGTCTGTTCCATTGACGCCTCTGCATTTCCATGTGGCAATAACGCCCAAGCATGTGTTTGTAGTCCTTGATCACATTATTTTCAATGTCATTTCGAGCAGAGCTTCCAAGTGGATAATTTTCATCAAAGTCAGTTGATTTAACGAAAAACTCCACCCCATGTTTTTCTGTCGTTTTCATAAACTCATAAGAATAGTTCCTTTGCAAAGAATACTCAGGCTCTGAGATCGGAAGATAAGCAAGCAAGATGATTATCAAAAATGGCACTAACTGAAGAAGCAACATCAAATTAGGACCAATACCACCCAAATCTTCCCTCTGATGACCACCGGGTCCATTTGTTCTAGTCCTGTAAACATGGGCATTCCTGAACATGTCATTCTGACCAAAGAACGCCCTGAAAACATCGTTAGGATCAAAATCATCAGCAAAGAAGTCATTCCCAGTTCTCCTTCTCCTTTGCCTAACGTTGTACTGCTGATTATACTCAAACTCCTCGACTAACCCTGTCTGATCATATTGCCTCCTCGAGTCATCTTCACTCAAACACTTGAACGCCTTGCTAACTTTCTTAAATGCCTCCTCTGACCCTGGTGCCTTATTCTTATCAGGATGGACTTTCAGCGACAACTTCCTGTATGATTTCCTTATATCCTCAACAGAACAACTCTTCTCCACACCAAGAATCGAGTAATAGTCCTTCTTACTCTTAATCTGCCTAATCAATTGCACGTGCTCCTCCAAGTAATTCCTCACTCCATTTGGAATCCCATCACCACTAACTGAACCACCATCATCTTTCATTTTAGTAACATTCTTTACATCATCAGATAGCCCTGGGGACGATGACGAATCTAGATTCTCACACGAGACTAAAAGATCATCAACAGGTAAATTTTGATTAAGGCGGCGAGCAAGTCCAATGAATTTTAGGGCTCTTTTTTTATTGCCCGACGCAATTGCCTCCTTGGCAATACTAATACACCTTAATGCCTCATCCTTGTTACCATCCATTATGATTTTCCAATTCTAAACACACCCACTTCTAAATTCTACCGACCCAGTTCAACAGAATGTCTCAATATAAAACTGAACACTCCACAGAGTCGTCAATTTCAAGAATTGATCAATGAGGCCCATGAAATAAAGATCACGGATTTCTGACAAAAGTTGCATTGACCTAATTAACAAAAAAAAAAAAACAAAAACAAAATGTCTCAGTAAATTGTAATGAAACGAAGTACAGAAAAACTACATAAGGAAACTGAAAACAGGGTCATTACTACAAAATCATCAGCGGAGTAAAATCTTCAATCAAAATCGGACACCTAAAATTCTCACACACAAAAATCACACGTTTAGGTCAGAATCTTAAATCCCTTAAGACCGACGTAAAGAAGACGGGGGCGAAGATGGTACTGTCAAAAGCGTGGTTGTACAACACACGACAGGGAAGCGTGTTACCTCTTAGTATTAAAATTGTTTTTTTCTTCAAACAGACTTTCAGAGGTCAACTATGGACCTCTCGAATAAATGGATCATAATTTATTTGTTTTGGCTTTATTTCTCGTCACAGTTATAGCTAGTTTGCCCTAATATTCTTTAGTGTGGGTTGATGGATGGAGTGGTAATTAATAAAGTTTGTGATTTAAATTTGAAACGTGTCAATCTTCGTTAAATGTTGGAGGTAGTTTCAATACATTTCAAGGAGTCGATTAAGTTGGAATCCTTCATCACATGATGCATGTGGTTTGATCCTATTTCACTCGAAGTTGTGATCAAATTCGGCCTCTAACCATTTGTCCCGCACCTGGAAAGGAAGCAGCGAACAAAAACAAAAAGATTTTTTCAATTCCTTTTAGTACTCCAACTATAAATTGCTTATCTTTACTAGAAGGAGATTCTCGTATCATATTGTATCAATAAAAAAAAAAAGACAGCGCTACAGTCTCCTATTGTAGTATCTAATATTGACCAGTGACGATTGCCAACTTACATGCATCCCTACTTTAACCTCTCATATATTGTCCATATTGCTAACCAAACATTTTTGTCCCAAGTTAATCATCGAGCCTTCAATTTTATTTCACCTTGGGCACTCTATCTTCATTTATTGAAATAACTAAAAACACTATAAAAAATATTCTTGCCAATCTTATAACCTTGTTTACAAAGCATCTAGCTATATTAAACGTAGTCAACTTCAAATTTACTAATAATATTTTCCTCTAATTAATTTTTAAAACAAACTACCGCAAAAATGAAAGTGATTTAGATCAAATGAATTCAATACAAACTAGTGAGTAACCTTAAAGGAAGGTAATGTACTAGGTGCAGATCAAATTTTACAAAGGGGAACTTTCATAATCTACTTATAATTTGAGAAAAATATAACTGTCCAATGCCATTATTTCAAATCTGTTTCCTATTATACTTTACCGTACAACATTATATGACTGAATGAAATTCTCATAAAACAGACAGGTAACTAACTGTACAAGCATGATCCTACCTGCATCTTCATCTGGAAAATGCTTTAAGATAAGTTATCAGTTTTCATCACCAGAGTCAAAAAACTGTCTCCTCCGCAGAGATTTTATCACGTTGGCAGGCTGGTCTCCTCCTCGACTAGCTGCTTCCCTCGTGCAAGACATGAGTTTTGGCACCCCCATTGCACTGAGAGGAGGTGTTGATGCACCCTTATTTACTTCCCTTAGCACGGAGCGTGCAGTGGCTGCTGCCAGTGCAGCTGCCACCGCTGAAGCCACTTTTGTATCACTCTTAAGCTTTTTGGGCAATTTACTTTTGAGGGCACTTGAATTTGACACCTTAGTATCAGCTGGAGAATTATATGCTCCTGATCTTTGCATTGAGGCAACAGCATTAGCTGCAGTCGATCTCGCTTTCATTGACTCGTATTTTTGCATGTCTTACACGAGTTCTTTCTGAAGCTGCTGATCAGCAACTAGTAGATCGTCAATCTCATTCTTGTAGTCCTTGAGCAGAATCCTTAGGCATTCCATGGGGGAACCAATAAGAGGGCTATTTTTGCTTTGAGTAACCTTTTCAACTCGATGAAGATGGGGATGGTATTTTGGATGAGGCTTTTTCTTACAGCCTGGGTTATGGCTCTTCCTTTAGCAAGTGCTCCTCCATTGTCTCCACCCTCTTCTTCTACATCTGCTGCCTCTGATGAAGATACCCGGTTGGATTGAATTTTGATCTCTTTGCTGGAAAGAATGATGAATGCATCCTGATTTCACGGCATATTAGTGCAAGTTTACGATAAAGAGTAATACTGAAATCTTAGAAAAAACTAAAAGTAAAGCACAGAACGCGAAGAACACGTTCGGTTAAGTTTCAAATGTCCAAGTAAATAAGTTTGTTTTTGGTGAAAGTTGGAAATAAGTTACTTATTTGAAGTAATGCGAGAATTACTTTACATGCTCAAGCCTATCCATAGTACACACCACGGTGGATAATCATAGTTCCCAGAGGTAAAGTTAGAAAGGGATAATTGCCTAGAAAAAAACACCCCCCACACCCCTAAAAAAAGAAAAAGGGAAATGAGGAGAGAAGCTGCTTAAATACAATTGGAAATACTCTACTATTACGAAAAAGAAACTACAAAATGGTGCTTGCAACTCTGCCTTGGAGCTTTTGTAACAGCACATTGTTGAACTAACTGAAATTCAAGAATGAAAATGCACGATCAATCTGCAACATTTTGTAACTTCTCCAAAAGAATGAGAGAGAGAAATGCATATGCAGAAATTACTACCTGAAGGACTGATTGCCCAGTAACATCCTCCAGAGAGAGCATAACATCAGATGCGGCTGCAAGAATCTCGGCACATACTTTTGTAAAGGTAGCCAGAAGGTGCTCTGGGGCCATTTGTTTAAGCCAAGGTATAAATGTGCAACCTTCTAGACCTTGAATTCTCATCACTACCTCTGGGAAAAAGAATTATGATTTACTCATTATATGTCCAATCCCATGAAATAACCAGCTAGATGTTTAAAACATGCATAACGAATAAAAAAAGGGTGGGTTTCATTTCTCAAACTTCGGGTGTTACTACGTCCAGTATGAACATTGCAGTCAATTAAAACAAATATGGCTACCACAAAGCTATTATAAGCTAAAAGTGGTGCCTTGGCTGCAAAAACATTGAACTGTCAAGTCTCACCAAAATGTTTACAATAAAGCAAGTCCAAAAGTGCTAAATGAAGTTGTAACCTTTTAATATATTCCCAAAGAGGAAATCAGCAAGTTGCCTAATTTTCTCTGAGTCATCAACTAGACACAATAAAAGAAAAAGTACTCCTAGTCTGGAGTTTAATAAGACAATTGCCTTGTAACAGATTCAGTGATGGAAAATGAATACAAAACTGTAATATGACGAAAATTTACCTGTAATAGTCTGGACAGTAGGATAAATGTCTACCTTCTCACTAGTTCACATGCATCACGCAGGCACTTTGTGATCTTCGACTTAAAAGTTCAATGCTAAGAATATTGAAGAATTTTTTCAAGTTCTATAAATACAAGTACACATGAATTAATGAGCCAATGGTATATACAGCAGTAATGGCCCATGATTCTAATGTGAATGCAGATGCAGCAGTCTAGTTCCTTTCCAATTGCACCAGTCTGTGGAGTAAGGAAAGGAATGTCTTTATTTGCATCAGTGATTTTTAACAGGTAGGAATCTTTAGAAAGCAGCTGGTGAGCCCATTTCATTACAAGAGAATCAGCTTCCTTGGAATGCAAAGCCTTCCGTTTGCACAGTGTTTTGAGTTCCTTTACGTGAGCATCAACCTGCCACAAGTACACCATCTTATTCTCATTCACGAAGTATATAGTAATTCATTTTTTTCTTTCTTTTATTTTCAATCACACATTGTTCAATAAAGTAATAATATACGCAAATTCAAAACTTTTCCTTATTTTTAACCACTCATTCTCCGTCAAAATGCTATTTCAAAATGCACTTTCATCGAAGAATGGGAATCAAATGGACTCTTAATTCTTGTAATTAAATATGCCATTTTTCAATTTTACTTTCAACAAAAACTAAGTTGTTTAAAACAATTATTTATTTTGAACCTTACTTATAAAGTCACAATCTCTAATTTTTTATTTATTATAATTATGTTTGCACGCATTGTCTAAAAGAGAATTGCAAATTATTTTATTTTGTGTTTCGTATGGAAGAGAGCACCTTACGTTTGCTTACTATTTGATCGATGATATGAAGGAGGTCGAGCGATAAGAAATGGAACGACGATCGTCGAGTGTTGAGAGTTGATTTAATCATATCTGTTAGTTGTACTTGATTGACACGTTTTAAATTTATTTTCAATCACACATTTTATGAGATCCATAACTTTTGTCAACTTTTCAACAATGTATTTCATTAATTTTTAACAAAAAATTCTAAAATTTTGATTTTAGACAAACCAAACATGCCTTTTAAATGTGGGCATAAAAAAGTTATAGTATCATGATTAACTTGAGTTAATGAGTCACAATCATAAAAATTTCAATGTAATTGAATTGATGATATATCTTTAATTCAAATTTTATGCTCTTAAATTTTTAGACTTTTTCTCATATTCTTTAAGCTAAAGCAACGTTTTACAAAAAAGAAGTCCAATGAAAGGTA